CTCATAACAAATAATAATGAGAAAAATTTGTTAATCTAAAAAATAATGTCCATTGTAAAACTCATTTGTGAGATATATGTATATATATATGTATATATATATGTATATTATATATATATATATATATATATATATATATATATATATATATATATATATATATATATATATATACAGGGCTTGTGATGAATCGAGCGCGATCGCGCTCCGCTCGTGAAACGCGTCCGTAAATGGTATTTTGAAACGTTCCAGGCGCAATAAACAACGCTCGTTCAGCTTATAACGAGCGTATAAAATAACGCTCGTCCAAGAGTTCGGGGCAAAACAAATAATAACTTTTTTTTTTATTTTCATAAAATATGAAAAAAAGATTTTTTAATAAAGATTTTATATGATCGAAGCACTAATTAATAAAGATTTTATATGATCGAAGCACTAATATAATATAAAATAAAAAAAGCACTACGTCGTTCTTTTTTGCACTAACCTAATGAATGAGCAGTTTGAAGTTGTTAATAGGCACTAATTTCATTGATGGAATGTGCATGTAGAAATTCAATGCAAATACAAAAATGCACAAATAAAACAATAAAAAATTAGTAAACCATTATAAGAAAATTGAAACTGCAGAATATTTTTAATCTTGTGAAAACATCAAGTAAGATTTATTTGATTTATTGTTTGTAATATTCCATACATCGTTTATAATAAAAATAAATAATAATGATTCAGTAATTTTTTAAATTAGTTTTTGTTTATAGTATAAGTTTTTTATTAACTATTATTTATTTTAACTCAAATTTAAAACGATTCTGTTGTTTAGAATGTCCGCAATCAATGACATTCCAAAAGGAAACAAAGTAATGTCGTCAACATTTATTAAATGGAAAGTTCAAGAGGTAATAGGCTTTAGAACTGAAATTACCAAATATAAGTGACGAATTAGCTGCATTCAGTTTCAAAAATGTAGAAGAGGAAACACCGTTGACAACAGTTGAGGGGAAAATCTAATATTTAACCTATAATGAATAGTTTAAAAAAAAAAAGATTTTCAAACTTTCTTGTGTTATTTTTTTAAGATAAAAAAATCGTAATTTAAAAAAGAAATTTTAGAAATAAATTAATTTGAATAAAAAATATCAAGAAATATAAAAACTATTTTTAAATACATATATCAAAACAACGAAACAAAAAAAGGCACTAAATTATAAAAAAGTCACTAAATTATACTTCAATACTAAATCAACAAGAAGTTGCGTTTTTGTTTGATATATATATAACATAATATTGCGTTTTTGTTTGATATATATATAACATAATTGCGTTTTTGTTTGATATATATATAACATAAATAGTTAAAAAAAAATCCCGATCTGACAATATACAAGAGTGTTAATTCATGAGTGTGATACTAATTATAACATTAGTCGACGAAAGAATGATGTAACAAATAAAAAAAGATCTTCTTCAGCAATTTTCATGATCGCGCTCGTCGACGTTATCTCGAGCGCACATAATCACGCTCGATGAAAACATATTTTAATTTTACGAGCGCGATATAACACGCTTGACGATTTTATTCATCACAACCCTTGTATATATATATATATATATATATATATATATATATATATATATATATATATATATATATATATATATATATATATATATATATATATATATATATATATATATATATATATATATATATCAACCCTAAAAATTAGAATTGGCATTGCTAACCTAACTGTAGAAGTGTTTGAGGTCAGCAAAAAATTGTTGACCTCGTTTTTATGTTCTATGGTGAAACCTTTGTTTTACATTTATTCTGCCAACTAGATTTTTTTTTTTTTGTTATTCACCTCCTCAAGGCCGAGAAGGCCACTATAGACGAGGAGGCTACTTAATAGTGGTTATAACCAGGGTTGTCATCTGGTGTTTTTTAAAGCCAGATTTCTCAAATCTGGTTTGTTTTTTTATCGCTTGGCTTGGAATTTTTGTTTTGTTTTATTTTAGAAAATCTGGCTTAAATCTGGTTTATTTTAAAGTCTTTGGTCTTTTTTTGTTTGTTCTGGTATATTTTTCAAAATCTGGTTTAATTCTGGTTTATTTAATAATAAATCAGTTTAATCAAGTTTTTATTTCATGAAAAAAGTTAGTTTAAGGGAAAGAAAGATTTCAATTTTTTCGTTTTATAGAAGAACAATCAAGTTTAAGATAAATGAAAGAAATGCTTACATTAAAATCTTAAAACGTTAAAAACTTTTACTTGTAATGTCATTCAAATGTTGTTTTTATCTCTTAATTGGCAAAAATGTTAGAAAATTCTTACATTTAAAATGACATTTTTTTAGAAAAATCTTCCTGTATTGAATGTTGTTTCCCAAGCTGAAAAGGCCATTTTAAGTCTACAGTTATATCTTAAGGATGCAAAAGGTAGAGAAATTGAAAATCATTACAGAAATCGTCATTAATCATAAATTAGTTAACATTGCATCATTAGAGCGAGTCTAAAAACTTTTAAGAAAAAGGAGTTTCTAAAAACACTGCTGAATTCTAAACTGCATCGTGAGACCATTTAGATGTTTCCGGAGACCTAGACCTCTGCAATATAGATATTTATTGCCACGGCTGTCTATGTGTTCCGTTTCTAACTATTTTGCTGAGTCTTCTCACAGGTCATCTGCATAAAAATCAGACTAAGAAAATGTCAAATTAAGTCTTGCATGCAGTCATTTGGGTCAAATCATATTTAATAAGGCAAAAGATTTTTTACCAGGACTTTGAAATAATTGAGTCAATTATCGCAGATGTTGGAAAAGAAATCTATATCCATATGCAAGCAAAAATATATATATATTTTACAGGTTGCTAGTGTTGGATTTAGTATAGGTGTTTGGCAGTTAACTAATTTACCCACGCCACTTTAAAGGCTGGTCTGGCACCCAATTAAACATTCACTAAGTCGTTCTTCTCATCCTCCCTCACTCTCTTGCAAATTAAATTTTAGTATTCAAAGATGAATTTTTGGATAAAGTAGCATTTTTTTCAAAATATAAATTATAAACAAGGCTTTAAAACAAAAAATTATGATTTTTTTCTTTTTTTTATGGTCTGGTTTATTTCTGGTTTATTTTTGTTTCATTTTTGGCTTGTGCCCGAAAAAAAACCTGGCAACCCTGGTTATAACCCTCTCTCAACTCTCTAACTCCGAAACACGAACCTTGACGAATAAGGCCGCTGCGCGGAGAAACAAGTTGAGCGCGGTACTACCAGGGACATGGTGAGGATCAAACTCGGAACCTCTCGCTTATGAAGCAAGTGTTTTACCACTACCGCATAATGCCACAGATGCCAACCTCGCACAGATTAAGGCCAACAAATAATTGCTGACCTTACTTTTCCTAATTCCAGAGGTTGATATATATATATATATATATATATATATATATATATATATATATATATATATATATATATATATATATATATATATATATATATATATATATATATATATATATATATATATATATATATCATAGATGAGTATTTGATTATATGAAAATCCCGGAAATTTTTTTTCTATGATATTCCCGGAAAATCCCGGAAAATTATTTTATTAAAAATTGATCGCATTTAACTGACAAATGGAATTTAGATTATTTAACTTTTTAAAAAAAGGAATTTCTAATATTCAAAAAAGTATTTTTTGAATATTAGAAAAGTAAGTAAAGAGAAAACATATTTGTTTAAATGCAAAAGTTGTCGTATGTAAAATTTTTTGTAAAAATATATTAATTTTTTTCAAATTAATATCAAAAAACATCCGGAAATTTCTGGAAAAATTAAAGGCGTTTTAAGTGAATTTCCGGAATTCCGAGAATTTCTGGAAAAAACTTATATATATATATATATATATATATATATATATATATATATATATATATATATATATATATATATATATATATGTATATTTGTTTATTAATAGTAGGTTTTTCCAACTCTATGTACATGCTTTCTTTGAGTTTTAATATAAATTTGTTGGAGGCCGAATCCAAAATTGAAAAACTATCATGATTAAAATTATTAAAACAGCTTTAATTTTAATGTTTATAAATGTGTAAGTTTTTATGCCTTTTTTGGTGCTCGATTAATCAACCAAGACGGTTACAAGTTAGGTTAAAAAGATTAAACAAACGCCTGTCTTGGTTGATTAAGAAAATCCATAGCTCTTATATTAACAACACCAATGTAGACATTTCATCATGTTCAGAAAACCTACAAAATTATAAATATTTTAAACTTCCTTATATTGGAAAAATATCTGATTTAACCAAAGACTAAACAAAATCATTAAAAGATATTGTAAATCAGTCACCGTAAGATTGGTTTTTACTTCATTTAAAATTGCAAAATTTTTTTACACAAAAGATCCCTTACCTACAGACTTTAATTACCTACAGACTTTTAATTCAAAACTGTACATAGAGTGGGAAAAACCCAATATTAATAAACAAATGAACCATGTAAAAATGAAAATTTCAATCTAGATCCTTTTAACATTACCAGTTTTTTTATCTTTTTAAAACATTTGTTACATTTTTTAATTGCATTTTTATTGTATTTTTATTATAAGGTCTCTATTAGTTCAACTTAATTTTAATAATTTGATTTAAGCATTTTAATATATTTTAACTGATGATGGCTGTGATATAGTCAAAACATGTATTTACAAAATAAATGATTTTAAACAAAAATTAAAAAATTTGTCTTATTTATTAGAATATATATATATATATATATATATATATATATATATATATATATATATATATATATATATATATATATATATATATATATATATAAACCTTCTTAAAGGTTAAGTTATAGGAACTAAAACCATCCGTAAAGCCAAATATGTCTTTATCACTCTAGAAATTGAATGATTTTAATAAATTTAAAATTTATGTAAACATTTTGTTAATTACCTGCAATGCAAATAATCCATTTAATGTATGTGTTCCTTTATTTAATGAAGATGGAAGAACTCCCTCTGCAACTTCTCTTAAGTCAGCCATTAACCATTGCTCATAAAGAATGCTGAACAGCTCATGTTTCAGTGGCAATTTCTAAATTTAAACATGCATTTTTACTACTATTCATTGGCACAAATTTAAGTAATTAAATTGTTTAAGAGGCTTATAAGCCTTAACAGATAAAAATAAAATATACATATTAGGGTATAAAATAAAAAATAATTTTAAGATTTTCAAATGAGCATATCATCTAGTTATGAGCTTTTATATTTTGAAAAATATGACAATAATTTTAAGGTACATATCTCTAAAAAACTCACACACCAAATGAATTATAGTTCCTCAGGGTTTTTCCATAAACTACACAGCATTAAATTTGCTTTAAAAATAGAAGGAGGAGTTCTTAAGCTCTTTTACACAGCGGTTTTCATTAAACTTAACGCATTATATTGATTATTGATTTAACTTAATACTCTGCGAGGGAAAACTTTTTTGTTTTGTTTTTTAGTAAAATTTAAGGTTGCGTAATTTCAACTAATCAAATAATAAATTGTATAAGGCATTACAAGTTCAGTTATTACACAACCATTCAATATGCCAAATAAAAATTCTACTGCAACCAATATATCAAGAGACGTATGGAAAAAGAATTTGATTTACTTTGAGAAAAGTAAAAGATTATGTAAGAGTAAATCTCAAAAATTATTAGGAACAATATGTATAATGTCAACAAATTGGCAAATAATTAACAGATATTGAAAGGACAAATAAAAAAATTTCAGCTGCATGTATAAAACTATGGGCTTATTTGAATTTTCCAACAATAGGCAAAAAATCAGTACCAAAAATGATAGAAAAATTGATTAAAAAGAGACAAATAGAAATCAAAAAACCATGTACTTATAGCTTTAATGGCTTAGTAGATACAGCGTAAGAGGATGGACATTGCATTCTGAAGATAAAAATCTTTATTTAAAGCAATAGTGACATCTGGTAGAGAAAATCTTTATTTAAAGCAATAGTGACATCTGGTAATGATCCTAAAAAATACATCTTTCAAAGAAAATTAAATTTGGAAACATTCCATCAATGCCATCAACTTTAATTCTGATTGATAACAGAGAGGAATACGAAAGTAGTAATGAGTCAATAATTAACAGTGGCAGTGATTATAAACTTTCAATAAATATTAATAAACAAATAATTAAACAGAGAACAGTCGAGGATATTAAATTGGTTTATCAAGCAAAGCTAAGTACAGAAAAAGCTGCCACAGTGTTTCAACAACTTCAGATGGCTGATGTCGATCTTCCTGCACCAACCCAACCGGCAATCTATATGGCAGTCATCAGAGAAGACAAAAAGTTACAAGATAAATTGAGAAAAGAACTGAAGGTTGAGAATTGGTGTTTGCATTTTGATGGAAAAAAGATAGTTGGGGTGGAACATTAAATAGTCGTGATAAAGAACTAAAATATGGTGTTGAAGAATGGAAAGTCAGACACAATTTTTAAAGGACTTCAAGAACTTTTTGATGAATATGATTTATAGGGATCTATAAAAATAATTATGATAGACACTACAAATATTAACACTGGAAACACAAGAGGCATTATAAAGAGATTAATGACAAATTGAAAGGCTATCAATACATTCACAAAGTTTTGGTGTGATATTCCTTTGCTTATCAATATGCAAAAATCCAACATTTGTGCTGAACGAGCAGGGTTAAAAGAGTTAGATGATATCAAAAGTCTTTGCAAATCTGAAGAAACTTTGTATTTGAAATATTTATTAACAAATCCTGATTAAAGCAAATGCAAACCTTTTTAGTAATGTATTTTTATCAATATAGTTTTTTAAACATTTTGATATTTTATTAATTTTATCAATATAGTTTTATTTAGGTGATATCAGGCTTGGTCGGAAAGCGGGTGCAATTGCACTCGATAATTGACCACGAAAAAAATATTTAATTTTTTAATGTTTTATGCTTCGCGTAGTTTAAAAAGTTTAACACATTTTAAACAATTCTTCTTAGTAAGATGAACAAATGAAATAATTAAATCATTGAGTTACTGTAGAAAATTCAACTAGCTAGATAAAAATTAACTAAAAACGTTAAACTACTTTGTGAGGAGGAAGTGGAACTGCTTCACAATACCGCTGATGTTTAAAGGGACTACCAAGTCCCGAGACATGTTGTGTTCATATTAAAGAGAATGTTAAAAAAAAACGTCTGAGCAAATTTTTTTTGATTAAAACTAATTAATAAATGTATACTAAGAAAAACAAATCTAGTCGAAGCTTGTCTTCTCCATTTTCTGCCGTATTTTGAGTATGTAAAATAAATGGGATTTTCCAGACGCATTATACAGACTTGATAATTTATTCATTTTTTTTTTTTTTGTTTAAAACACCGATTGTTATTTTTTACTTACAATTTCCAAATCATTTTCATTTTTATTATATTTTAAAGTTCTAAAATGTGTTTGTAAAAAAATTAAAAACAAAATAGTATTTTATTTGCGCAACTTTTTTTAAATAATCGTCTAGGCCAGGCGTATTTTGATTTCTTTTGTTATAAGTTTTTCTTTCAAAATATTAGATAAAATAATTTTAAACCTAAATAATAATGCACTTTTATTAATTTACTTTGTAAATACTAAAAAAAAATTAACACATTTTTTTCTCTGATTTTCAAAAATGTATTTTATGGTATTTAGGTGATCTTATTTCATTATTTATATTTCAATTATTATAACATCTAATATATATTATGGCGGGGGTTTAAAAATTAAAAAATTAATATATATTAATTTTTATATTACAGACATACATGGAAACATGATTAACTTGAATGTTCTTAAAACATCTTGCGGAAGAATAAAAAGAATATTTGCGAACACTAAAAACCCGCTAAATTTGCGAACAAACTAATTCTATTGGTTAAAAAATATGCTGACTAAGCGAAATAAAGTTCTAGAGTATTCTGTTAAAATGTTTTAAGAATTGTATTATTTACAATTTGTTGCGTTTTGAGATATCTAACATAATTTTTTTTAAGAATACATTATCAAATGAACTATTACTTTAATATTATGGCTCATCCTTGGAGCCACATCGGTAAAGCCGTAAATCTTTTAAACTATTATCATTTGTTTACAAAAATAAATGTTTTATATATTTTTTAAATTGTCAAAATTTTGAAAGTTAATTCGAGTTATATATTTTATTGTATATTCTTAATTTTTATATCTTTTCTTAGTACTTGGTTTAATTAATTGTTTGTTAGATTTGTAAAAAACTAACGAACAATTAATAAAATAAACTTTTAATAAAATAAGTACCTATAGTTAGCTATTTTAGTAAAATTTAATAGTAAAATTTTTAAAGAATTTCTAGAATGTTTCCAATGACGTCATGCACTAAAACTCCTATGAATTAAACGCGCTTGAATAAATTATCAAGTCTGTATAATGCACCTGGAAAATCCCGTTTATTTTACATACTCAAAATACCGCAGAAAATGGAGAAGACGAACTTCGACTACAAGATTTGTTTTTCTTGGTAATCATTTATTAATTAGTTTTAATCAAAAAAAAATTGCTCAGATGTTTTTTTTTTAACATTCTCTTTAATATGAACACAACATGTCTAGGGACTTGGTAGTCCCTTTAATGAATAGGCTTTATAATTTTAATTAGTATTTAAAACTGAAAAAAATAACTGTAAGTATAGCGAATTTTTAAGAATGGCTGGAGCAAAAATAATTGAAGTTAGTAAACCAATTTATAAAAACTTAAAAACTTTTCTTTCTTGGGGGAAAGAATCAGTTATCGGGTACACTGTGGAAAATGGATTAGTGGTTAAACTTATTTGTATTAACTTTGATGATTATTAATAATCATGCATTTTCATTGAAAATGCATGATTATTAATAATCATGCATGAAAATGATTATTAATAATCATTTTCATTGAAAATGCAGTTATTATTAAAAGTATTTTTGTTTACAAAATCAATCGCACAAATTTCTTTAAAAGATTACATTTGAATAAAATACACATACATAAAATTACATAGATAAAAATACATAAAAATACATTACATATATAAAAATACATTACATACATAAAAAATACATCCCTTATATATAAAAAATAAGATTATACTAATAAAATCTATAATATATTTACAAAATGTTGACAAGTTAAAAAATATAAATTTAAAACATTTATTATTGTAAACAAACAATGTTAGTTTAAAATCATTTATAGCTTTGTAGATGTGGCTCCAAAAATTAAAATAATAGTTCATTTGATAATATATTCTTAAAATAATTTATGCTAGAAATCTCAACAAAAACGTAACAAAATTTTTAAAAATATTTCACAGGACATTCGCTTAGTATTTTTTGAATAGAAATTTCGGTTAGTATTTTTTGAACCAATAGAATTAATTGTAGGTAGATTTGGCGGGTTTTTTGTGTTTGCGAATATTCTTTTTTTATTTTTCCACACTAAGATGTTTGAGAACATTCAAGTTTATGTATATTTTCATTTAAGTCCGTAAAACAAAATATTTTAAAATTTACGATAAAATGAACTTATTATTTTGCGGACAAACAAGGAAACATACATAAACTTAAATGTACTCAAAACAACTAAAAAATCTGGCCAGTTTTTCGCAACTAAATATTATTTCCATAGTCAGTTATGGAGTGCGATCGCACCCGCTTCCCAACCAAGCCTGGGTGATATATATCTTTATTAATTATTTGAACAAAACTTATCATTTTAAGACAAAGTGGAAAACATTTTACTTCAAATTACCAGTAAAGAATTTCTAGGCGTTTCTTATTTTTTAAACATGTTCGCTTTCAACAAGGCTGCAAGCAACCACTAATTAGTATTAAAAGTTACTGGAAGAGAAAAGATGAAGATTGTAGAGCAATATAACGATTGACAGACGACTTTAAAGATTGCAAATTATATGAATCAGGAAAGCAAGATAAAGGAAGCCAATTCCAAAGAACTGATGTTCGAGGAAAAAAACTAGACAAATAAGAGTTTTTGGAGCACTTAGGAACA